TCAGTTGTCACATTGGGCACCTGAAATCATAAGTCACTTGTGAAAATCTTATTTCTATTTAAGTTCCTCTCAGTAAAGATTTAGTAGCAGACACTGAAATGAGATCTCACTAAGATTTCATTATTTTTACTAAGCACACTATAGAACATTTGCTCTTAGTCTGTGAAGTATTATCACAGAATGATCAAAATAAATTAATATAATTTTTTTAAAAACCCTGGAAAGGGAGAAGTGCTAGAGACTCCATGAAGTCCTCTAAGGATTTTGCTATTGATTTGACATGGAAAGTCCTTGGATACTGTGGTACTGGGCAGGAGTATAAAACTCTAAAATAGATAAACACTGAACGACAGTTTACAAAATAAAAGAACAAAGTCCATTCTGTGATGCACCGTCATTGCCTTTCTACAAAATTCAGCAATCTGCAACAGGTCTAACAGTCTTTAGTGAGAATTCATGTTCTGCTGTATACCAAAAGGAAAATATTAATTTACTGGTTTTCCTAATGTTCTCAGCTACCATGTTGTGCCATCTTCTTTCATAAATAGCCTAGGTAACTCATTACACCTCGTCATCCCTTCAACTTTTTAATAAAGGATCCACCCCTCCCCCACTCCTCTTAATATATTTTTAAACTCTGTGGTGAGCCAAGCTTGTTTCATGAACACCATGGTAAATCTGTTACAACTACTCCACAGGACCAACCAGAAGAAAATCTAACCTTTCACCTTGGCAGGTAGTACTTAAAGTTTCATATAGCAATATGATTTCCAACCACATCTGACTGCCAGTTTTAGAATTACAATATCTTTTTTCAATAGCTGCTGATAAGCAGTTCTTAAACCTTCAGAGCTCTTGAGACTCAGTGATAACTAGACCTGGCTTATGTTAGAAATCCTGCACCAGTGAAACAACATAGATTTAAAAATCTATCTTGTTATACTGGTGCAAACCCCTAACAGATGCATTTAAGTCCATTTAAATCACCCTTAAACGGATATAGCTTAATGGGGTAACTTACCCAAGTGTCACAGCTGACCTCAGCTAATGTGACAGCTCATGAAAAAAAAATGGTCTCATGTAGCCCTGGCCCAAACCATTAAGGGCTTTATAGTTGGAAATAAAAAAATCTTGAGTTGCACATGGAAACAAATAGGAGAACCATGTAACTGTCAGGGAACAAGTTTAATGTGCTGTCTAGGGCTAATACCATGAAGAGGCGAGCAGACATCAACCAGCTGAAGCTTCTGAGTGATCTAAGGCTATATCGACACTTACGGCAGTGTGTAGAATATTGGTGTAACCCACACACCTCCTGCGTGTGGTGTTCTGTCCCATCTAGTAGCACCAAGACCACTTAAAGAGAGATAAAATGAGTCTGCTCTACAGCCTTAGCTAAGAGCCAGTTGGCATTTAGCTCCCGAGGTCCCAGGTTCAATCCCGCCCACGGGCAACCAAGGTCTGTGGGCGTTACATTGGCACTATGCATGTAGCTACACACTGCAATGAAAGCCAGGCCAGGCCTCATCCACATTTGTCACTGCAGGATAGCTACATGCAGCACTGAAAAGCTCTGGCAGCGGGGAAATGCCTTGGGAGTGAGGAAGCCACACTAAAAATAGCAGTGTAGATGTGGGAGGCATTGCTTGGGCATGTAGAGAGCAGTTTGGGTATATATCGTGGGGGTTCAGGCAGCTGGAAACTCTATTCTATTCTACCCGTCTAACCTGTGCCTCACCATCTACACGGCTATTTACTCCCATGCTAGCTGGGCAGGTGGTGATTGTATGCTATACAACACTGCAAGTGTAGGTGTACCCAAAAGTATCCTGCCTGTGATACTGCCTCAAGTATGCTCTGAGTGCTGGATCTGATGTCTAGCCTTACAACTACAAGTCATGAATAGGATTTTCTGAAAAAGCTACTCATGAGGTCCTGATCCTTTACTTTCCACATGCTGCAAGTCCCTGTCTAGCTAATGCAGAACATCCACCTTCACTTTTCCCACATTATCAACTACTTCCAAGATGTATGTTTTGTCAGCGGCCACTTTGCTTTTGAAACCCGATAGCCAAGTTGTTACATGCAACTATATATCGACATAGGTCATATTTGGAGCATTTGAATTGAGCATAGTGTTAGCTAGTGTGACCATTATGCTGACCTTTCTACTGGTGGCACAGCGGTAGCCCCTCTGAGTGCTGTGTTAAACCTGCTGGGCAACGTCTTATAAAATGTTGGCTGTTCAAATGATTTACTGAGCAAGATCATGTGCTGCATGCATAGGTCTTTTATACAGTGTAACATTTGTACTCTGAGATCCATCTACATTGAAGGTCATTTTTATTTGAAGAGCAATAAGAATTTGGTGACTGATTTTTATTTTATATACGGACACACACATAGCATAACTTTGCTGCAAGCGACACAGAGTTTAGGTTTAGGGGAGCTCATACTGTAAATCAGATAAGAATGGAGAAAACACATTTCTTGTCCATAAAAGGACAGCTCACATATTCTCAGAGGGCAACTCTGATTTTGCTGCAGTTCCAAAGTACAAAGTAGGAAATTCAGTATTGCTAAATGAATTATAGATGAGTTTCATTATAACTGTACTGAGACTGCTTTTGACATTCTTGCTGTGTGTTTTCCCCAGTCTAACCCTGTTTCAACGTTGACCAATGATACTTATTTGTACAGCAGTAAGTGTAATTCAGATTAAAATAACCACTTCACTTACAGCTCAGCTCAGTGAGACACGGACACTATATAACTTGTATTTAGCTTAGGCACTCTGGTTACATTCACCAGACCTGAAGAGGAGCTCTGTCAAGTTGGCCCAATAAAATATATGACCTCACCTATCTTGTCATGAACAATATGTGGTATGCATTGGGAGGTGCATGCATGCTTCTTGAAAAAAGTGCTCTCTAAGTGTAACTATAGCTATTAAAAATAGAGTTATCTTATACTTATAAATACTGGTCGCAAACACTGCAATGTTCTGGGTAATTACTATAAAATACTGTCATTCTTGTTGATTGTTTTGAATTATTTTTATAACCACTGAATATTATTAGAATATCAGCTGTCAGTACAATTGGAGTTGCAATCGTCTTGGGCTAAAATGTTCAAAGTTGGATGCCTAAAGTTACTCACCAAGGCCAAGATTTAAAGCAATGGGAACCTAGCATTTATGACAGCTTTAGACTGCTCAGCACTTTTGAAATTTTAAACATGTAGCAGAGTGTTCAGTTAAACACACACACAAAGTCAACCCAGAACAAATCCCTAACAAAAAGCATGACCCTGCACATGCAATTCTCCCTCTGCAAAGGAGATGAGAGGAAAACAAACAGATATGACTGATATGAGCAGGGCCGGCTCTGGCTTTTCTGCCGCCCCAGGCAAAAAAGCCTCTCGCCGCCCTCCGCCCCCGGCGGGGAACGTGGCAGGGGAGGGTGCCGAGCCCGGCCGTGGGCCCGCTCTCCCCGAGCGGCCGGAGCGCCGGGAAGAGGGCGGCAAGCCCAGCTGCAGCTCCGCTCTCCCCGGCGCTCTGGCCGCCGGGAAGAGGGCAGCGAGCCCGGCCGCGGCTCCGCAGTTCCCGGGGGCTGGAGCACCGGGGGGAGGGCGGCGAGCCCGCCGCGGCTCCACTCTCCCCAGTGGCCAGAGTGTCGGGGGGAGGGCGGCGAGCCCAGTCGCGGCCCCGCTCTCGGGCTGGAGCGCCGCGCTGCCTCCCCTCCAGGTGCCGCCCCAAGCATATGCTTGGTGGGCTGGTGCCTGAAGCCGGTCCAGGATGTAAGTCACCTCTCAAGGTACGACTGGAGGACATAGACTGTCCTGGACACTCAGATACTTTGGTGATAACAGTAGTATAAGAACCCCATAGAATTAAACAGATGCTGAAACATGGGTAGAGGAGCTAAACTTTAGGGTCCTCATTTTTAAACGCTTGTTCCTTAATCTGTATGCAGGCCTCCTAACAAACATCACAATTTTCAGGGGGGGGTGAGCCCCTCACTACTCCTATTGAAGTCAATTTTAGCCCACTTTGTGCAGAATGTAAAATAAACTACAGAGAATACATAGTTCAAATGCCCTGGGGATCCAAGTATATTTCATACTAGCCTTGTACAGGACAAATGATTGCTTTCCAAAAATAAAGTACAGTGCAACACTTTGGTGCGCACTGCTATTCACATGCCCCATAGTCTGAACTGCGGGGCAGTGTAGACCAGTGATTCTCAATCTTTTTTCATTTGCAGACCCCTAAAAAATTTCAAATATAGGTGTGAACCCCTTTGGAAATTTTGAATGGAGATGTGGACCCCTTTGGAAATCTATTGTCTGTGTATATATAGTTGAATTCAGTTTTCAATCTGTCTTTTGCAGACCCCTTAGATGGGGTCCATGGATGACAAGTTGAGAACCATTGGTGTAGACAAGTCTGAAGTTCCTTTGTCTACAAAGACATGTCACCTCCTCCTGGAAAGCATGGCACAAACTGTAACTCTCCTGTTTGGAAGCTGCAGGTATGAAATGAGAGGTTCCTACTTCACATTAATGAAGTCTTGTTTGAAGAAGACTACATTAGTGCAAACTATGAACCTTTTAGTTCACACCAGCCGTGTCCACATTGGAGAGTTATAGCATGGCAGTCACTTTGGTGTGCACTGCCCTCATGGTCCTAACTGTGGGGCAGTGTAGACATGCCATATTGTCATACTAACCTTGCTCTCCCTATTAAAATCCAAAAAATAAAATCATCCTGCCTGAAAAGTGGATGAAATGTAGATGGAACTAATAATAAAGGGTCACCCACATTATTTCATAAAATGTAATTAAATATTTGGAATAGCTTGTAACAAACACATGGTCTAGCCTGGTCTACACAGTCTAACATCTGTAAGACATGCTAAAAAAAAAAAATCAGGACTATCCTACTGCATCCAGTAATTCTTATTTCACTGGCTCTAAGTTAACTCTGTGTTTCTTTTCAGATCTTACAGGTGAACAAGGTGATGTCCATCTTGTTTTATGTGATATTTCTTGCTTATCTTCGTGGCATCCAATCTACCAACATGGATCAAAGGAGTTTGCCAGAAGATTCAATAAATTCTCTCATTATTAAACTCATTCAGGCAGACATTTTGAAAAACAAGCTCTCCAAGCAGATGGTGGATATTAAGGAAAACTATCAAAACACAATGCAGAAAACAGAGGCTCAGCAGGACGTGGATGGAGTTGAAAATGTGAAATCAGACTTCCAGCCAGTTATCTCAATGGATGCAGAACTATTAAGGCAACAGAAACGCTACAATTCTCCCCGAGTCCTCTTGAGTGACAATACCCCATTGGAACCTCCACCTTTGTATCTTATGGAAGATTATATTGGAAATTCTGTAGTGGTGAACAGAACCTCCAGGAGGAAAAGGTATGCAGAACATAAGAGCCATCGAGGGGAATATTCTGTATGTGACAGTGAAAGTTTATGGGTCACGGACAAATCATCCGCTATTGACATTAGAGGACACCAGGTAACTGTGCTAGGAGAAATTAAAACAGGCAACTCTCCCGTCAAACAATATTTTTATGAAACAAGGTGTAAAGCAGCCAAACCGGTAAAAAATGGCTGCCGTGGCATTGATGATAAACACTGGAACTCCCAGTGCAAAACATCCCAAACGTATGTAAGAGCACTGACTTCGGAAAACAATAAACTCGTAGGCTGGCGATGGATAAGAATAGACACATCCTGCGTGTGCGCGTTGTCGAGAAAAATAGGAAGAACATAAGTCTGCATTTCTTTGCTATATAAATTATTACTTTAAATTATGATATGCATGTAGCATATAAATGTTTATATGGTTTTATATATTATAAGTTGACCTTATTTATTAAACTTCAGCAAACCTACAGTATATAAGCTTTCTCTCTCAATAAATAGGAGTAAAAAGGCATGTGCCTCAGCTGTGGGCAGCTGCAGTTTTATTAGAATATGTTTGTGACTCTGCTTATCAGCAGCATACCATAATCTTACTGTAAAATCTGTGTAACATCAGTATTTTTCATTCAGTATTGTCAAGCCAGTGACTGTCATTTAGTAAACTTGTTAAAAATCAGATAAATGTCAAGAGTTGTGTACCCATTTCTATCCCCTGCTATCTATTTTCACAAGACAAAGTGGGTGAGGCAATATATTTTATTGGAGCAACTTCTGCTGGTGAAAAAAAAAAAACTTTCGAGCTACACAGAGTTCTTCTTCAAGCCCAGACCTGAAGAAGAACTTTGTGTACGTCAAAAGCTTCTCCCTCTCACCAACAGAAGTTACTCCAATAAAAGGTATTACCTCACCCACCTTGTCTCTCCAATATCCTGGGACCAACACAGCTACAACAACACTGCAAACCACATATATTTTCATATTTAATTAAAAGTGTTAATTCCTCACCACTGAAAGGAAAACAACATGGCCTACAGCTAACATTAACATTCCAGCCATTGACTAGCTGTAAAATACATTTTCTGTATGTCATGCCAGTTTTGCCACTAGAATTACTGTTGTTTTTCCTCTGTTAGCGTTCCAGAACTGCTGCTAATAACCCAGCAATTCTACTTTAGGTTTTTGAAGCACATTTGTTTTGTAACTGGTTTTTAATGCTGCCAATTCCTTTTAGAAGTAATAGGAAAAAATCTAAAATATTTGTAACAGAACCTTACCAATGCCAAGAAGCAATCTAAGTGGATCATTAATATAATATATAAAAGATGATTTCTTTAGAGTGTACTATTTATTGTGATCAGGTTCCTCCTCTCCAGTAATCTATTAACTCTGCTGCATCATTAGATTGTTTCTTTCTGCCTGGGGTTTTTAAATTAGAAACAAAACCATTGGTGTCTTAATATTAAAAGAAGCCTGGGTTTAGAGTTCTAGCAAAGAAGAATACAGTCTTGGAGTAGCTGTCAAATCTGCACTTTCATTCAAACTGCAGTGCTGGTCAGCATCAATTGCTGATTTTTCATGGAGAAAAACATCTGTAGAAATGCTCAACAAACCTGGTATTTTATGGGGATCATTGAAGAATTACTGTTTTCTGTGTGGCATGTGATTAAGAATCAGGTTCTCAAGTAGGCAATAGTTAAAGTGAAACTGCAGTGTCATACAGATGAGTTAACACTTATAAAAAAATAAATGTACTGCTACATACCTCATATAGACATTTATAAATTCTGTGCACAAAACATGTTCAATTCTTTGCATTTTTATGTAGAAGCAACATATATATGCACTGAGCAAAAACTTTAGCCATTCTAAAATGGAGCAGCTCTATGGAAGACCGTGTAAACCACATTATACCATGGACCAGACCTTGCTTCCATTAAAGCATATGGAAGTTTAATCACTGACAGCAATGGTCCGAGCAAGTTTAAGCTCCCTATATTATCTATATCTGGTTGGATCTTAAGAATAACACAACCAGGGAGTCCAAAACTGCCCTCAATTTAATAGTCATCACAATTGCAATGCACCAATTCAAATTGTTAAATGAGCACTTTCTCCTTTGCATTTAACATTCATAAATTTAAAAAAGAACTACAGCACCAAAACAGTAGGTGGCCTGATGGCTTTGTACCTATATCTTTTCACCACTGGAGAACCAGGTTCAAATCCTCAATAAGTCACAAGAGGAAATGAATTGGGTGGTCTCTCTAATCCCCTATGGACAGTGTAACACATCATAAAAACACTGCAGAGCTGGTCCAGATTGCTCATGAGGCCAAGGATTGGGATAGCTGTAAGCCAGGATTGGAACACACAGGCAGGACTGTGTGAGGAGGATTGTATACAGAGCCTGACAGCATTAGGTGTGTCTCCCACTAGACCCCTGATCTTATAAGGTGCAAAAAACTCTCAGGTCCCCAGTCAGGTTGCTCAGTACCTCACAGGAGACATCCAGCACTTTGCAGGATTAAACCCTAAATTCACCTTCAGTGAGGGCGATCAAAGAGCGCTATAGAACGTTTAGTGCACAGTAGCAGGGTCCACATCAATGGTTAGTGAGCGACAATCTACTGCAAGGGAGATAGCACGCAGCAAGCTGGGGTATACAACTGTTCATCTAGACAAGCCCTCAATATCCAATAGAGGTGGTTACAATCCCCCCACCTCTTTGGAGCATTTCAATGAAAAAAATTAAACATTCATTTTTACTGACATTTTCAGTGTAAAATTTTGACTTTTAATTGAAAAAAACCAAACCAATTGTTTTTCAGTTTTCTGCCAAAAAAAAATTCTGTTTCCCACTGAAAAAGGGGAAAATGTTGAGGAAAGTAGATGCTTTCAATGAAAATATGCATTTAATCAAATCCCAAATTTTCCATTTAATAAAAAGAAAAGTTTTGATGGAAAATTTTCAGCCAGCTCTGGTATCTAAGCTATTCAGAGACAAGCAGGCAGCCTTACATTCAGGGGTCTTGGCATTCAGTGTCCAGTGTATGTCTATATCTATGCGCTAAATGAAGTGGTGAAACTAACTGAGCTTGTTAGACACTGCTACCTACTTGAAAAGACTCATCATCATTTCCATTTGCTTTAGTGAGTCTGTTGCCACTGAAGGGGTAGATTCTGCTTTCAGTTACACTAGTGTAAATCCACAGTCATTCCACTGAAATCAATGGAGACACAGTAATTCTACTGTAGTCAGATTTACACCAATGTACTTAACATCAGAATCTGGCCCAAAGCTCTTTGGAAATCAAAAAAATTAACTCTGGAAAAAATCATTTACTGCTTTCTAATGTAAATCATGTAATTAGAACTGGCACCAGGACTCTAACTTTATCAAAGTACGGAGTGTTTTGCAAGTGGAAGAAGAAAGTTGCAGAGAAAATATGGTATAGTGCTGATCATCTGAAATGTATTACATGACAAAGAAACATGGTGCATAAGGTTATTAGATTGACTGCCTCATTCCCACCTTAGTATAACAATGAAAAGAAGTGTTACCCTTAGGCTCTGATCCAACTCCTACTAAAGTCAATGGAACAATTGCCACTGATTTCAAAGGAAATTGGATCGGGCCCTGAGTGAAGAAAAGCTACAGATTTCAACAGTGCTGCAGTGTAATTGTATGCGTCAGTTACATGTTTTTATAAATCCTGTGTGTAAGATTTCCTGTGTATATTTTACAGCACATAAGCATACAAAGCCTGTGCTAAATGCATAGGGGTCTGATCCTGCGCAGTCACTGTAGTCAGGGAGAGTTCTGTTTGCTATTGACGTCAGTGGTGGCTCAAGGAGGTCCAAAGTTCTCTAGCCAACTTCTTTGTATCAATTGTTTAAATGAAATAAGTAGCCCAATAGTACGTTGTAAATTTGGGTCTTTTTAAACTCACTCCCATTAGGCAGCTGAGATAACTGTCAATATTGTTTCCCCAAAATTTTACATTATAAATACATGATTTTGTTGCAAAAATGATTGGCCGATATGCTGGGTTTGCCTATCTATCTGTGTCAAACTGTGTTTTCTCTAATTTTTTCTTGTTCTTTTACAGTCCATTTGGTAATTGTAAAAATGCTCCACTGAGGTTTTGAGAAACCATCTGCATTTATTTTATCACCTTTGAACATGTGTTCAGGAATGAAGTCTGTGTAGCCAGTTTACTGCTACCTAGAGATTTGCGCTGCTACACCAGGAAGAAACATTGACTGGGCTGTCCAGTGTGTGTGCGCTCAAAACCACTCTTAATATTCTGTTATTTCAATGAGTTAGCAATCCGAGTTTCTCGCTCAAATATATGTTGTGTATCTGCAGACAATACATAACAGGAAACAAGTTTGATTTGGAGTTCCAAAATTAAGCATTTAATGATAATGACCTTGCTTTTTTGACCTTTCAGCAAATACATTTTTACAACAAACTGAAATGTATAACCATCCATTTTGGTTAATAGAAACATTGTGGCAAAAATCAATGGGATTCTGTGTTCCCCACACTCAGGACGCCTATGTAATTCATCATGCATGTGGCGGGGGGAGAACAGGCCCTGCAGCTTGTGAGAAGTGAAGAGAAGTGAGCTGGGTCAGAGCCGGTTGTAAGTATGGAGGGGTTGTTTTCCAAAATGCTTTGCCTGTATTTTGTTACAGCAGATGGCAGAATGATGAAGCAAGCACAGATGTGATGTAAAAAAAAGTCAACCAGTGCCACGGCTAACAAAACCTTTCTTAGGAGAGTCTGCAATTTGCTACTGCTGTAGGCATGAGGAGTTGTTTTAACCAGGTTGTTACCTAGTTCTGCAATGACATTCCCTATTAAATTATTTCAATAAATTTTCCTTTTTTTGCCACAGAAGTTCTCTGGATATTGTCAAATTAGCAAGTTAAAAATATTTTTTGTAATCTTTAGCTGCTTTGGTATCACTGACGAGCTGTATGTTTAGAACGGTAATGCTTTACACGAAGGTTCCTAAATTACCATGAGGGCCAGATCCTGCAATAGGCACAGCCATTTTGAGCCACATCACTGCCAGATTCTGGCCACCACAAGAGCATCCTCCAGTGGCGTCAAGCTAGCACACAAGCTCCTACGCTCCCACCCATCTGCTGCTGTCATAATAGAGGTCATGGCTGGATGAAAGGCTCAGAGCGGGACACCCCAGGCTGAACAGAACACTGGCTGCCATTTTGGCCCTGGGGAACCTATTATAGCAGTCTGAATAAGTCAGAGCATGCTCAGGCTGTTCTTACTTACACCTAGGAATTGGCTCTGTGCACAGTGGCCTCAGGATCAAAAGAGGGCAAAAATGATCCCTAGACCATCATTAGTTCCATGCCGAACCACACCGACACCCTTGTCTTGCACAGTGTGTTCCTCAGTTGTAGACAGCAGGGCAGCCCGGGGGGGGGGGCAAGGCAAGTGGGGCAATTTACCCCAGGCCCGGAGCCCCGGCCTGGCAGTGGTCCGGGTCTTCAGCGGCATTTTGGTGGCAGGAGATCCTTCAGTGCTGCCAAAGACGCGGAGCAACTGAAGGGCCCCCCGACGCCGAAATGCCACTGAAGACCTGGACTGCCACCGGGTGAGTACAAGTGCCGCAGCTCCCCCGCTTTGCCCCAGGCCCCCTGAATCCCCTGGGGTGCCCTATTAGGCAGGGATCTCTCCCTGGGTACTCTGTCCAACGGCTGAGATGCAGAGTCAGACTTTTGGCTGAGGGATAGCGTGGGCAGTTCCCAGGGACTGAGCAGACAGCCAATCTGTAGCTCTTGTCAAGACAAAGGGGAAGGTATCGGTGGCTGAGGCAGTTCAGGGTATTTAAATTAGAGGAAAGATGGTTTTACAGAGAAGACACAGAAGTGAGGTCAGGAGACAAGACCCGGGATCTGTTGCTGGCTCTGCCACAGAGTCACTGTGACACCTTCGACAAGTCATTTCACTCAATATTTTTAAAAGTGTCCTCAAATTGTGCATGTCCACATTGTTATAGCTAGGGCCTGAATTCCACCTCTCCAAATGAAGGTGAAAAGAGAGAGAGAGAGAGAGAGAGAGAGAAAGAGCGCATGCACATCTGAAAGTTTGTACCTCAACCTCAGTGCCTCAGCTTCCCAATCTGTAAAATAGGGAATAATAATAATGATACTTACCTACCTCACCTGGGGAGTTGTGAGGCTTTCTCCACTGTTTGCAAACTACATTAAGCTCCTCTGATGGAAAATGTTGGTATTATTTGGAGGGCTGAGGTAGCTTGGAAACATGGTAGATCTGAGTTTTCTTCTATTAGGGTGGAGATGAGAAAGGACTTGCTACTAGAAGTGGGAGTCTGAGCTGGGAGGGAGGCGTATTACAGGAGGTGTAGGTAGGGGGGGAAGAGGTTGGGTCTGTTTTGAGAAGGGTAGTGAGAGGGTCATTCAGAAAATTCCTGTTGATTACCTCAATGTAGTATACTCATTCCCTGTATCTGAAGGGTTCATTAAATACCATTGGATTATTTGACACCCTGAAGAATTCAAAATGAAAATTAACCACTGTATTATAGATATTAATTGACACAATTGCAATATGCTGATTAGGAATTAATAATTTTCTGAACGTATGTTGCCTTGGTTACAACCCTCATGCAGCCCAGTTGTCAGCACTGGGATTCAAAAGGGGTGAGGACAGAATTTGGCCCACAACGTACTAAACCAAATTGAATGCATACTGGTGAGCCTAAGTTGGAAGCATTATCCATCACCTGAAACAAACCAAGCTTTTGACATCAGTTCTATCAAACCTGTCCATTATTCTATCTAATTCAAGGGATCTATGAAAATATTTAAATATATTTTGAACTGTCTGATTTGACCAGTGTGCATATATCTAGTAGCAATTTACAAAAGAAGAAAATGTAAATAGAAATATGCAGTAAAGTACTGTGTCTAGCAGTGTAAATAACTTCTATTGATTCTTATTTATGTTCTCAGTGTCTGAGAAGGGTCTAAGATCTATATTTTAATACAAATTTGGTTTTTGTTTTACACACGGTATTTTGTGTAGTAAGCACCTCAACTTACTGCTTGTAGATGTTTGCGGTGTGTAATCTCTATGAAAAATGTAGCAGAATAATGGTTCTAAACTAGCGTGGAAATGTAAAAGTTACAATGTCCCGCCTCTGTATAGAAGTTAGTTAAACCCAGATGTGTGAAAAGTGACAGAATCTGCTTCCCAGGTTCAGAGATTAAATGTGGTTTAAAATATTGAGTGGCAGCTTTTGTCAAGTTATTACCAAATATCTTAATTCAGATTCATATGAGAAACAGCCCAGCATTCAGGTGAATCATGCTTTTCTGTCTTTGTATAGCTCAAATCTACAAATGCAAGCCCTGTTAAATTGAAAAGATGGAAGTTTGGTCTAATCTACACTGTCCTGGGTGCACGTTCATAACTCCTGTATATGGGCCAGATTGAGTCCCCTAGATCCTTGTCCTTAGTGCACTGAAAGAAACTTCCATGAGAGAATTTCCTCCTTTCTGTGTGGAAGGGGAGCTCAGAGACCTCCATTGCATTGTCCACCCAGAACACTACAGAGGCCTCTCTATGCAATCCAGAGTCTGTCCTCAGAGAGGAGGGGGCAATTAGCTGGGTGGAGGGAGAAGTAGGCAAGGAAGGGGGTGGGGATGGATGTCACCCCCTAGCCCCTTGGAAATTATACAAAAAAAAATACAGACTGGAGTGGCATTATCTTTCTGCGTAATCCACTGGGGGGCATCTCAGTACCTGACTTAGAGGCACAAAGACTCTATGCCTATGGCTTCCCATGGATTCTCAGAGATCCACCAGGTCTGGTGTCAGCCGCTAGGGCTTTCTTCGTGCAGGGGCGGGGTGGGAAAACCCATGGGATGGATCTCTAAGAGGGAGTCTTTGTGGAGATATTCTCCTCCAAAGTTTCCTCCCATGAGTTTTTCCACAGGAGGGGATGACCTGGACCCCTGAGAGATGCTAAGCACATGAAGTTCCTATTGAAGCCAATGGGAAGTGGGGGTGCTTCCACATTAATGTGTTTGGAACTCTTCAGTGGGATAATAGGACGTTGTAGGACATCCGTGAGACAGAAAATAATAAATTTTCTTTCATTAGATTTATTCACTGATCCATTTTCCCTCCCTGTTCCTTCTTACAACACCTGAAATGTATTGCGAAAAGATGCAATGAATTTCTATGGCCTGGAACATGCTAGGGGATCCGTGGGGGTGGGGGAGAAGGGGACTTCCTACATAAATACCCCCTGCACATGTGAAGGGTGTGAGGGGCTCACCAACCTCCATGGCATGATCCTCTCTCTCTCTCTAGATGCTATGGAAGCTCTCTGCAAAGACTGGAATCAGCCTGTGGTGAAAGATTGGGCTAGGATGGGACAATTGCACTACACACATCACCCTCCCAGCAACCAACAAGGGATATGCTGAGAAGCTAATACAGCCAGAGGCAAACCTCTCACAGAATAACTGGGAAAGCTCAACAAGGGGAACCTCACAGGATTTTCCTGCCCACTATCCTCCACCGATGGATTCTGTGAGGAAAAGGGTCCACATGATCAATGGCATAGTCACCCCTCATTTTGCAAATGGAGTTAAATGGTTATGAAGTCCATATTGTAACGATTTGAGCTATGCAACAGGAAACGAAGGTGTGAATCAGAAAGGAGGGAGTTAGAGTAAACTGATGGCAAAAGCAGATGTTGCTCAACCTTCTCATGTTAACACTTCAGTTGTACCTGTTGTATGTGTGGGACCTAGTGGGTCAGCTGATTTGAGCTACAGACATGTAGGAAATGTTTAAGTCTCCAGTATTATTTTAGAAAAAATTAAGAGAAAAATAAGAAATATGTAGTTTTATTCTGATCTTTCAGAGGCTTAACACTTCAATCGAGTTAGTTTGAATTTACACTGGTGTAAGAGATCAGAATCACGCCCACAAGATTTAAAAGCTACTGGCTAAAACTGTGTTTGATCAGGCTCCCATTTTCTGTGAGCAGGACTCTTTAACTCCAAATAGCTGCTGCCTATATAGTTATATGACAAATAGGGCCTTTTAAATTATATTACGTCATAGTTTGACCAGGAGCGCCGCCCCGAAATGCCGCCCCCCCATAGAGGCGGCGGAAGGTCCTGCCGCCGAAATACCGCCGCAGTCGCCACCCCCCAAAGCGCAGCGCCCTAGGCGACCGCCTAGGTCGCATAATTGGTTGCGCCGGCCCTGAGTTTAACATAGGGTATGCCTACACTACGGGATTAATCCGAATTTACAGAATTCAAATTTTGGAAACAGATTGTATAAAGTCAAATGTATGCGGCCACACTAAGCACATTAATTCGGCGGTGTGCGTCCATGTACCAGGCCTAGCGTCGATTTCCAGATCGTTGCACTGTGGGTAGTTATCCCATAGCTATCCCATAGTTCCTGCAGTCTCCCCCACCCATTGGAATTCTGGGTTGAGATCCCAGTGCCTAATGGGGCAAAAAACGTTATGGCAGGTGGTTCTGGGTACAGCCTCACCCCTCCCTCCATGAAAGCAACGGCAGACAACCATTTCGCACCTTTTTTCCTGGGTGAAGGCTGCAGATTCCATACCACGGCAAGCATGGAGCCCGCTCAGCTCAAGGCAGCAGTCATGAACATTGTAAACACCTCGCGCATTCTCATGCAGTTAATGCTGAACCAGGACCAGAAAAATGAGGTGAGGAGGAGGCAGCGACGGCAGCGCAGCGACAAGAGTGATGAGGACATGGACACAGAATTCTCTCAAACCGCGGGCTCCGGTGCTTTGGAGATCATGTTGTTAATGGGGCAGGTTCTATCCGTGGAACGCCGATTCTGGGCCTGGGAAACAAGCACAGACCGGTGGGACCGCATAGTGTTGCAGGTGTGGGACGATTCCCAGTGGCTGCGAAACTTTCGCATGCGTAAGGGCACTTTCATGGAACTTTGTGACTTGGTTTTCCCCTCCCCGAAACGCCAGGAAA